TGAGGGGGGCACCTGTTGGATACAAATAGGTACCTCACTGAGAACCTTCAAACCAAGCAACTTTTTGAGTGGGCATCCGAAAAAAACCAAACCTGCCCCTGCATAGAGAGCATGATTTGTGCCCCTCATGTGTTATATATTTATTAAAGTAGCGAAGCAAATTTTACAAAGTGTTAAAACAGGCCTCCCCCAGCTGTGAGTATTAAGTGATTACAGTATGTCTGGCGAAGGTTTCTGAAATAAGCGAAACTTTAAATTGGCAGTAGTCATTAGTAATACTGTGTGGCTTTTAACATTAAAACTTCCTGTTCGCTCACGGGAGGAAGGTGGCGAGACGTCGATGACAAATAAATATCCACCGAAAGGTGTAACTGAAACGTTTCGTGCTCCTTTTCCCGCTTTGGCACATTTACTGGGGCGCAGTTAAATTATGACTAATTATAATAAATATTACTTTTTATTATTCGCCAGTTAACGTATTCGAAGGAACTTCTGGGAAATCTGTGCTCGTTTAGTTGAACTTCCTCTGAAGATGAAAATAATGGGCTTGCTGTCACTGTCAGCCGATCTCACACACACCCAGGTCCGGGCTGCCCTGGAGCGGCGCCAGCGCTGTTTAAAGACACAGTTCACATTCCTCTCCTGTCAGTCATCCGGAGCAGAACGCCAAGCTCGTCTTTATAGGCATCTCATCTAAACCGGGTGTATTCACACAGAAATCCGAGAAACGGGGAAATGTATGGCATTATAAATAAATATATGGAAATATAAATAAAATTATTAATTTGTAATTTACTGAATCACGTTTTAGAATACAATAGGGATACTTAAATGTACATTCAGCTCACATCAGCTTTTACCGGACAAGGCGGCGGAATATGTAGTTACAGAAAACGAGGAATTATATATTTTGATGATCATCTCTAGTATTTTATGCAGATACATTTGTATTCATGTTAACTATAGATACTGTATTGGGAAACATATCGTTCCTTTAGCATAAAAAATTCGGAAAATGTGACATTTAAAAGCATACCTGATCCTTCCTTCCCTGGTGGTTGACGGTGGTATGGCCATATAGGCAAAGAGCTGTCATTTATGACGCGACTGAAATTAATTTGAATTTTATCCATTTACTCATAGACCTGCCTACCGCTTACCCAGTACCCTGTAGCAGTGGGGAGAGCAGCCTGGAGCCTATCCCAGCCCAGCCACAAAAACGAAACTATGTAGCCTTTTAATTAAAAAGACATATGATTTACTCACATATTTGTGATTTTCAAGTGAAACAGATTTTTCAGTGTGAACAGTTTTTAGTTCAATATATATGGCACCAATAATGCGGTACAATCTCTATTTAAATTATAATAATAAAATATAAATAGCAAAGACAGTTAAAAACGAACTGAATAAGAACAGCTGACCACCCTAACTCTCTTATTATTACCCAGTGGGGTCACACACTTTAACATAATGACCTTACCTGTTTAAGCCATTGTGCTATTATGGTGTCATACAAAATCATGATAATTCCAATGGGTTCACAAAACTATTTTCATAACTGTACTTAAAGATAATAAACATGTCTCTGACACAGACACACACACACACAGACACACATATGTGTAGTTAATTATAATTTGCTCTATTGCAATGTCAGGGGTGAGTAAATATGACTCATTAAATTACTTGTGTGAAAAAATCTCATATGAAGAGCTGTTCCTCAAGCTGCCTTCCTTACACATTATTGTACACAAACGCAATCTCAGCTACCATAAAAAAATGTCCTACAAAAGCACTGGTGACAATGTCATAAGCCATGAAACATGGAATCATCATGACCTTAAGTGACACATAAACATTCATAAACCATTCACACACAGCTTATAAAGCTTATTGTAATATTTTGTTTAATTTTGATTTTCCAGAAACAACAGTTGCAGATTGCTGCTGCAGTGAGTTTTGCATGTGTGTCAGCTCCAGTACATGCAAGTGTGCTATTTAGCTGCATGTAGGTATGCTATCCAGTCTCATTCAGACGCGCTATCAAGTTGCATGTATCCAGTTGCATGTAGGCGTGCTATCCAGTCGCATGTAGTGATGTCACTGGCATCAGTATCCAAAAGCGAAAGCAGCCGAGGATTCGCCCACAGCCACCCACATGCGGCCCAGACTCCCCCGCGGGCTGATTTCCTGCTCTGATAGCACATCATGGCACCTCAGTGAGAAGAAAACTTCAAAGGCCTGCTTTGCTCCACAGTTCCTAGAAAGGAGGAGAGAGACAGAGAATCAGGGAAGAATGGGCCTGTTTTTATTGCTTGCTGTACTTTCCTGATGAGACATACAGGCATGCAGTAATACAATACAGTACATACCCCAATACATACTACACATAACCAGATTGAAAAAAAATGGATGGATGGATGGCTAAACAGATATATATCGACGAACATGTATTTTAAGATTTCATCAGAGGCAAATGAAATTTTTAAAAATAATACTGAATATACTCTGAACAGAATAAATGTATATATATTCCATGTGTGTGTATATATATATACAATTAATTTCTATATATTCTGTGTGTGTGTGTGTGTATACATATATATATATATATATATATAATTCTGTGTTTAAGCTCTGTTTAAACAAAGTTCGGGGAATGTCAGACAAGGTACCAATATCATTATCATGGTGTCACTACTAGGCCCCAAAAGATTTCATTTCTGACCTTTGACCTCAACCAGTCAATTTTAAGGGAATTAAACTTAAAACACATCCCAGCACATTCACACAAACTGGAGATGTTACCAGTCACATAGAGCATTCCCTACTCCAGACATTCACCTTTAAACGTTCTAAAAGAGCCATGATCTTCTCATGAATTTCAGAATTTGCTGCTAAGACAATTTTCTGGGCATAAATGTATCCAGAAAACAAACTGCTTTATTGTGGTATAAATGCCATTTCATCCAACAAGGAACTAGGCATTTGCACGGTCCTAACAGGTAATTGTTCCGAACAGGTTAAGGTCTAGAATATGATACACTTCCAAAATAGCAAATTGGAGTGAGATTTCAAAGGTGACATCAGCGTTGGAAGAAAAGGCAAAGACCATCAAGGCTTCATAGCTGCGATGCCCAACACGGAAGCATGCGACATTTTTGTGAAGTCACCCTTCTTCCTCCACAGGAACTGAGTTATGCAGGTGTGGCAAGGGAACAAAAAGCTGCATCATTCCCAGAGGCAGATTCATAAACCAATCAGAAGACAGCTTGCTGTGTCATCCACGTTCCCCTAAAAGCTTCAGTATGACACTTCACCAAACTCACAGTATCACTATGTGTGTATGAGCTCTTCAATATATCTTCAGTATATCTTATTTCACCACATGGGAATATCGGCTGAATGTTTTGTGTGTGCATTAAACAGTCATAGTGATTATATTATATTCTGCATATGCTGGGATTGAGGCAGATGGACTGGGTATGTCTCCAAGTCAGAGTTCATCCAGCATTTTCTATTAGCTGTGTAACCAGTGTCAGGTCATGAGAGTCAAAGCCTCACCGTTGGAGACACGGGGCACTGAGCTCTGGCATCTGGGACAGTGCCAGTCCAATGCAGGGCGCAGCGTTACATCATATGCATCATTTAGTGATACCAGTTCATCTTTGGACTTGAGAAAACCTGAATGCCAGCAGGAAACCCAGACAAACACAGGGAGCACCAGCAAACCCACTACCCTGGAGGCGTGAGACCACAGTGCAAGCCACTGAAAAACCACAGCAACTCCTGGAAGATATCTAGTTTCAATTTTCACACAGTGCTAAACCTAATCAAGCCTATTCAACTATTTGAAGGAAAAACAATTTTACAATGTTTAGTCGTATTCGATGTTTCTTATTCCATTTATGTAATTATTAATATTTGTATTACCATCCATCCATCCATCCAGCTGCTTATCCTGAGCAGGGAGTCATATAACAGTATAAGACTCTGTTAAGTCCAAAAAGTAACTTCTGGAGATTTCATGCTGTCTGTATAACACTTTTTTACTCAGTATCCAAAATGCTGAAATACTGAGTTGATTTTCTGAAGCCAAATCAGAGTAATCAGATGGAGCTTCTTCTTATTTCTGTACTTCAAGCGAAGATGGAGCCCAGTAAGTTTGCACATGTTACTGGCAGATTGTGAGTGGTGGGAGTTGGTGAGATGTGAATCTCAGGTGTGAGTGAAGGTGTTGGACAGGGTAATCAGAACAAAAGATCAAACAGCTCTAGCCAAAAAAAATAGTACTAACTGAGCCAGGGGAGAAAGTTTATTTATAAAATCCAGGCTGAACTTGTCACAAATTCTCC